CAGCCCTAAAGTCCCCGCCATATCTGCCCCTCCCTGTTACGACCGTGATGCTCCGGCCCACTCCCGTGTCCGCAGTTCCCTCAACCACCCCTGTGGCTCCCGAGTTTTCCATAGTGAGAATGGATTAGAACCTAGGATCGCTTTGAGTTCATCAATAGCTAGCACAGACTCTCTAGGTCAGTGATGGCTAATCTTTTTGTTGTTGGGTGCCAAAAATGTGAGGGTCCCCAGCACCCATAATGCAAAGCATAGATTGTTCCTCTGGGGGGGGCAGGAGGGCTTGTCCAGAACTTTTGGAGGCCAATTGGGGCTGTTTTTTGCCCTCCCCAGGCTTTCCTGAAGCCTGGGGAGGGCAAAAACGGCCTCCCCTGGCCATCCGGAAGGCCAAAAATCAGCTGGCCGGTACGCCCATGTGCATGGACAGCTCATGTGCCAGCAGATATGGCTCCATGTACCACCTGTGGCACACATGCCATATGTTCGCCATCAGGGCTCTAGATCATCTCAGTCATCCCACTAGTCTGCCACTCACATCACTGAAGATGAAAATCTAATTACAAAGGTTCCTGAAGTCTTTCCTATTTTGAATCTAGGATAGCATATAAATTCAAAGATGATACCCAAATGTTAAGTGATAGCGACTAGTATGCTGGACAGCCTTTGTAGCACTGAGCCAAGGAAATAGTCTTGCTCAGGTATAATGATGCTGAGAATCTTTGCGAGTTTTAGTCACACTTATTTGAAAATCTTGCATTGGGTCTAAATAGTCTTTCATAAAAATGTCCACCATTAAACAGAAGGATGCTACAGGAATCTCAAGAGTTTCAAAAATGAAGACAAAGCTGGCTAGCCATGTTAAAACTGTGCCTTGCATAGTTTGAGCTACTAAAGCAATGTGTCAGGAATACCTGTGAGCTGCTGGAGGATGAATGCAATTAATGGAGGCTTGCTGTGATCTGTGGGTCCTTGATAGAACCTCATTGTGTTGGATTCAACTTCTTAGGGACAAATGTTCTCACACTGACAACACAGGAAAACCCCAAGAAAATAGAGGAGGGGTGTAAAAAGTACATTAAACTCTAGAGAAAACATATTTAACAATGTACAAAACTATAAGAGGGATGTGGAAATATTAAAGGATTTCCAAGTACCTTTAAGAGAAGCCAGCTTGTCATCCACTTGACTATTTTTGCTGCCCAACAGACATTCTGATAGAGATCCGTATTCACTACTCCAGGATCTACAACATTAACCGTCACATGGCTTCCTTCTAACGTCAGGAGATGTTGCAGTTGATAGCTGAATAATACAAGGGCAAGTTTGCTTTGAGCATAAGCTCCATGAGGTGAATATAAGCAACTGCAAATAGAGGAAAAAAAAGAATCATATAAATATAATTTCAGAGTGAAGCATGGCACAGTTTTCAGATATTTGCTGATGATAACTTATGAAAGAGAATTATTAATTATGAAAAGGAAATTATGAAAAAGCTGTACACAGTAGGAACTCTCTATAATTACTTATCATCTTGCAGAAACCAATGTAGCCTATACAGAGTGATTTATGGAAAATGTTTGAGATAATATAAACCAGAGATGGGCAACTTTTGACAGCTAGGGACTTCACCACTGCCTTTTAGGGTGGAGATGGAGTGTTAAAGTGGATTGAATTTTCCTTGGTTTCAAGAAAAATCTTTGAAGCCTATTATAAGACAATTTTAATTTTTCTTTTGCATGAAAATAGTAAAAGATTATGTACCATTTTTCATAGTAGTTGTCAAAGGAGACTCTAGAAGCCATAGAGAAGATCACATGAAACACTATAATCAAATAGTGTCTCATAGCACTATCTCAAACTAACTTTTTAAAAAGGCATTATCTTTTGTGAATTTATGTCTTTTAATGAAATATGTTAACATTTAAAGGTACAACTAGAATCTTTCTGATTTGTAGCTAATATACTGTAGACTATCAATTTTTTTCTCCTATAATATAGATTATAGCACATGTAAAAAAAACTGTTCTTCCTTAGAATATTACAATCAAAATACCTTATATGATTCCATTTTCTCTGGTTTCCAAAATTCCTTTCCTGCTTCAAATAAAGGCAATCTCATGCTATAGGGTTGCACAAGCCAGATCTGTGGTAATGATCTACTATACATTAAAGAGTTATGTGCGCTTTTCCATAGTAATATAATTTATCTTAAAGAATATTGACAATGGCTTTTTTAATGCAGAAATGATGAGGTCTATTTTTTTACACATTCATTTCAAATCCCTTTCCTAGAAATGTATAGATCCCGTTCAAAACACTACTGAACAAGCCAGTGTCAAAAACTGAAAGTTTCAATAGGACTCGGAAGATTTCCAGTCTTCAGACACCGCAAACAAATGTTAATGTGGAACTTAATTCAAGGCAGTTTTTATTGTGCAGGCACATGATTGCTAATTAGGGGTCATCAATTAGTATATATTAGCTTTGGCTTTTTCCATACAGATTTAATAAATGTTTTTTGTAACTGGCACACACACTGTGGTCAGATACACAAATGTCCACACTGTATGCCTCTGATTATGATGTCACTGAAGTCCTGTAACGTTAAGAATTTCTTGAACATTAATATTGAATATAATTGGAAAATGTTAGTATAAGCTTTGTGGTTAGAAAAACATTCAAGAGATCACAATCAGAGATAAAAATAAAAAAATCTGTCTGATATTTAGATTTAATAAACTGCTACCTTTACTAATATGCTTATTTAATATGAAAATGAGTAATTCATATAATTATCTGGAGATGCTGGTCCTTATCCTTTTGCTATTAATAAGAGAAGATGGAGAAGCCTAGTAGTCACAACAGACAGACAGATATGCACACATAAATGTTGTGGCATTATTGTTGTTGATGTTATTATTTTATTTAAGGCCAACCTGGGCATTTTAGGGCACCTAAGCCACATCTGGCTCTTGGCTGTCCCTGTCTGGACTGAGTAATGTCAAAAGTTAGAAAATGAAATGTAAATAAATGCACTTCAGGGAGGCAGGAGAAGAAGCTGAGTGCGCTCCTTTAATTGGCTGGTGAGAGAATGAGCTTTTTTCCTGCCTACAGCAGAAGAGCAGCAACATAGCTCAGGTGAGGCAAAGCTCTGTGCTCCCTCCCTCCTTCTATGCTTCCTCCTCAACACATATGAGCTGGCATCAGAATTAAGTTCAGCCCTCCACAACAGTCCCACTTTAACCACACAAATATATTTATGTCCTGTTTTATTTATTGAATTTGGTTTTTATTTTTGCTATTTTGGTTTCCTTTAATTTAAACATTTCTCTGATTAACTGCCCATCAGTTACAATATTTGTCAGAAAGAAATAGATGTAATTGCATCATATATCTGGTAGAGGATACAAATTAGACATACCTACTTAATTTCAATTTGGATATACTGATTATAAAAATGCAAGATGCTGCGAGATTAAGAATGACTATTGTAATCTTATGTTTAGCTAACTCATTTTTATACTATTTGATGGAAATTAATCAACTTAAGATGTATCATTATTAGTTTTTACTCTTTTACAACAGCAAGAAATACAACCGGCAAATTGTTTATTGATATGAATAGCAATACCATTTAGACTTTATAGTACTTTACAGCCCTCTCTAAGCAGTTTACAGAATCATTATATTGTCCCCAACAAATATAATAGGGTCTCTTGAATCAAATTTTTAGAAAATTTCAGAAGGTGCCTTAATGGGTGTCTGTAGTAAATGGTTAAAAAAAGTCAAGATAAAGGACACAATGATGTGACTGAAGATCTTCCTTGTGTTTAGGTATATCAAAAACACACGAAAACCAAAAAAAAACAAACAAACACATGTTACAGAACACCCCTTACACTTTTTTTACATCAATTCATAATCCCTAAAATGCATCCATTTAATAACACACAGTATATCCATTAAATATATACTGATAAGTACATATCTAAGTGACACTACTTTCTCCCTTTAAAGATGATGTGACAAAGTATGTGTTAAGATAAATAATAGATATACCAGTAATTGACATGGTGCATACACAAATAGTTTAGATCCATGTTTTTCAAACTTGGCAATTTTAAGATGTATGGACTTCAACTCCCAGAATTCTACCACCAGCTCATGAACAAGCACTGTTGAATATTTCACTTCTTAGAAGTTACTACCAATCTATGATAATAGATATATTGAAGCCCTCAGACTAAGAGACAGTTGTTATCAGAGGTTAGAGGTTCAATGACCTCATCTCCCAAAATGATGAGAGCGACTATTTTAGTATATCTTTTTGTGATTGTACAACTACTTTACCAGCAGAAGGCACTAAATCACTTGTTTTCTATCTATTGGGCCATATGTCAGGCAAAACAAGAAACATAAAAGCATTTACATACACAGAATATATGTATTTTAAAGTAAATATAAAAGTAATCAGGTATAAACATGGAACTATAGTTAGAAATTATCCTTTGTTGGACAAAGTATACGTGGAGGAACATTGTCCATGGGATCGGACATGACTTCGCAACTAATAACATGTGACAAATAACCTTAATTTTTAAGTTTGTAGATTGCTATCTATGACAGCAAAGCAAACAAACATTTTAAAAACTATATTAAAATTATATCCTCCTTAGAATGAGGTTACAATCTTACATAGAACAAAGAATGAAGAATGATAGCATTAAGGAAGATGAGTTTGTATAGTGTACAAGGTATTGTAGGAAGTTATCACCTAGCCCTCTCCCCCAAAATGAACTATCCTAGGAAATATTGAAAAGGCAGAATATTATGTTTCTCTGGATGTGAAAAGGAAGAAACATGTTTCAAAAAGACAAAGTAACTCTCTCTGCAGCTTCCTGCCCCACCCACTTTGTCCATGAGTCATTAAAGCCTGAGCCAGTCCCTTTACATAATAAAGAGTCCTCCCCTTCAGCTCCAGGGGATGGGATTAAGGCATGATAATATTGGCCTTTTACCCAACTGACCACATGGCATCTGAAAATTCAACCAAACCTGGACTCAGCCTAGAGTGTTTCCCCTGCATGGCCCCATGTGAATCTGACAACCAATCAGAATACATTTCTTACACATGAACAGGAAACAGATAGGTGGGGCCGAAAAGATTATAAAAAGCCCTGCA